GGAAATCTTTGGCACCATCAGCACCTAACCAGCATCTTCCTGACCCAACTGAAGAGAAGTTCCTTAAAAAGATTGTGAAGGAGTTGACAACAATCGTAAGCAATGAGTGGTTAGGAGAATCCAAGCTTTCTCCTAAAGTTATTCGTTTAGATTCTCCCTCTACCTCCATTCATTATCAGATTCATAAAACCTCCTTCGATGCTCTTTATAATCCGGTTGTAGGAGTAAATCTTATGTCTAAAACTTTTGCACATACCCTTCCTGGACAAACTTGTTAGACAAAACACACATTTCCCCGTGGATATGATACTCAATAATACTCCAGGTGAAAACTACTTTGATACCCATGCACTTGTGGATTTTGTCTCTGTGTGCTTCCATAGGTGTCAACAGCGACCGGTTGGCCACAACCACCATCTCGTCCCCACGGCGATTCCGGTCCTTGTTCCTCTTGTCACGGTGATGCTGGGACGAAGCGGGGTTATCACCACCATCCCCGCTTCTGAGGTGGCCGTCGGCTTTATCCTTGCTGTTGAAATTGGCCTAGATGACCGCCTCACCGGTGGTGTACCGGTGGTGATGTCTAGGAGCTCCCATGTCATGCGTGGGATCTCGCGGCTGAGCACATGGATGAGCGCTTCACAGGTTGTGCCACAAATGAAGGCGTTGATCACATTGGCGTTAGTGATGGTGGGGAGCTCGTTGTGCTTCTTGGAGAAGCGCTGGATGTACTCCTGGATGGTCTCATCGGCCCTCTGCATGCAATTGTGGAGGTCCCATGAGTTCCCGGGCCGAGTGTACATACCCTGGAAGTGACCAATGAAGACGGAATGGAGGTCGCCCCAGCAGGGATGTTGCCGAGCTCGAGCTACTCGAGCCAAGCTCTAGTCAAGCTCGATAGAAGTAGGGGAAGGTACAGGATGGTGAAGTCATCATCCGACCCTTGGTCCTCATGGAGAGGTGTAGTCCTCGAGCCAATGGTCCAGGTTGGTCTCACTACCATAGTTGGAGATGTGCGTCGGTGGCCAAAATCGCTTGGGGTAGGGGCAGCCTGGATCGCCACCCCAAATGCCTGGGGCCGAAGTGATCCGGGGCGGTGCCCCTCCCCCTCGCTTAGGAGTACGAGACTGCGCCTGAGTGTGGCATCTAGCCTTGATGGTGTCATGGACATCGCAGGCGCCGCCGATCCGGTGGTGCACAAGGGGACACCATGGGGAAAGCCCGTGCCTTCGTTCCTGCCAGAGCTTGGCGCCCCTGGTCCGTGGGTGGCCAGAGCTGTTGTCGAAGGGGTCGCCGCCGCTTCCGGCCATCAGTAGGGCATGCACATTAGAGCGGTCCCCATTCATGGTGGTCATCGGTTGGGTCGGCCTGGAGAGCGCGGTGTGACACCGGGAGGCAGAACTCTCGGCCTGCTGCTCGAGGGCGACATGGAGAAGCCGCCTCTCCTCGTCGCCTCATGTAGCCGCTCGTTGGTCTTCGGGTCCGGTGTGTCGGAGATGTTCTCCAGCCGGCAGGCGGTGGCTGCCATGTTGTAGGCCGCTCGAGGGAAGCATAGGGTACTGGGAGCCCCCGTGCGGGCGTCGTCATCGTTGCCAGAGGCTACGTGGCTTGTTGCCGCGCAAGGTCCTACCTTTGGCGCTCGAGCTCTGCCTCGGCCGCCTCTAGGTCTACCTGCCGAGCCTGCAGGCGAGCTGCCTTCTCTAGAAGGTAGTTCACGTGGCTACGGGGACTATGGTCCGGCGGTGTGAGCTCAGGTGCCTCATCAGCTGGAACCTCACCTTCGATGTGGTAGCACATGCACGACGGAACGTAGCAGTCGATGTCGTTAGAGTCATACTCTGGGCCGTTCCCCGAGAGGATCTCGAGGAAGGTGTGCAGTGAGGGGACGTCAACCCCCGCGACACCGGAGAGGATGGTGCTCCATGGCGCCTCGTGGCTGATGGGGTGCTCAAGCTCCATCTGGAAGGACGCTGCCACATTCTGGATCCCGAAAGGTAGGTCCGAGAGGTAGTACCAGAACCATTTGGGTGGCGCGAGCACCTCACCAGTGGCGATCTAGTGGTGGACGTTGGCCAGCATGTAGAACATCTGGCGGTGATACGTAATGGTGGGGTGCGAACCCAAACCGTACGCTGGATCTACTAGGCTAGGACCTCAAGATTTGCTCCTAGGAGGCCTAGTGGAGGGGGCGATGTCGGGAGCTCATTGTCCACCGGCACGGCCCCGTTGAGCGGACAAAGCTCGCCATAGCAGTCGGCGACATAGGCTAGGCACCCAAAGTTGAGGACCTGGCTCGGAGCGAAGGCATCAGCTGTGATGATGAACTTGCCAGGGAAACAGACATCGCCGTCTTGGTGGTGCCGCTCGCTCCAATGATGAGGTGGGTGGCTCCGCCATCGTAGAGCCTAAATCACACTTGACGCTGCCCCCTACCTAGCGCGCCAGCTGTCGTGAGGTTGGAACCGCGGCAAGCATTGTTATTCAAGTGGTGTTAGAGTACGTGTCTCCGGTAGCTCGGGTGGACTCAAGAACACAAGAATAACAGAGAGGACACAATGGTTTATCCTAGTTCGGGCCGATCGATGCTCTACGTCCAACAGATTGATGATCCTTATACTCAAGAGCACCCAAAACCGGGGGGTTACAACAGAGTGTATAGGAGGTAGAGAGAGATTTGGTAGGGGGTTAGATCGGTGCTAACCCTGAGGTTGCCTCTCCGCTGGTGGAGCCTTCCCCTCGTCGGAGAGGAGGAAGATGACGGGTGAGGTGGAGGAGCTCTCGGTATCCCTCTCTGGGTTGCTCTGCTCTCGGTGCCGAGTAGGAGCGGATCGATGAGGAATGGAATGATCTATCTAGGATCGTCCTCCCCGCTCTAGGATCCGACCATACCCCTTATATATCGAGATAGGTCGGGTACATGGCGGTTTGGAGGGTTGAGCCTATGGTCTACATGTGCCAGAGTCCCGGAGGGTCTTGCAGCGATGCTTTGTGGACCATGGCGGTGTCGTGGAGCCGAAGAAGCCTTGGGTGTCGTCCGGCTGGCCTGTTCTAACATCTGAGTGTCAGGCTATGTCGGCTTGGACCGGCCTCCCCCAGGCGCACCTTCTAGAGTCTTCTTGGTGGCGAGGGAGATCGACTTGAGGGGCTTATGTGTGGGACCAAAAGCCCCCGAGCCCCTCGGAGGACAAAGATGAGAGCTTGTTGTCTTGTGTCACACCCCGTGAGAGACCCTATCGGGGGAGCGGCCGGCAAAGCCACGCCCAAGGTGCAGCATCGGGGAGCCCCCAGACCTCGATGGCTCGGGCGTGTCTTCTCACACCCGGCCCTTGGCTGGCGTCGTAGGCCGGGTAGGAGCCAAGGGCCGGGCTCGGGCATGTCGTCGATTGGGAGCTTGAGGCTCGGGCAAGCCCCCAAGCCCTGAGCAGAGGCCACGGCGTGCTCAGGCTTGGTCGGGTTCCTTGGCCTGAGGGTGCGAGCGAGCTTACCCGATGGGTTATCCCCCAAGCCCCCGAGCGATCCTGGAGGAGTCGTCGGGGGTCTCTTCGGTCAGGAACCATAGATCCCGAGGCTTAACATACCCATTATGTCAGGATCTCATCACCGAGCGTGGAGGCCTTTTGAAGATCGATGAAGCCTCAAGGGAACCCTATCGGAGGCTCAAGCGACCCTTCATGTAGAAGGCTCCTGCAGGTGAGAAGGGACCACAACATACAACCAAGGAAGCCCATCAAGGGCCCAGAATGGCCATGTTGTAAGGCTGTTCTAGAGGGGGAATGTCCCTATATGCCCGTGAAAGTCTATAACAATGAAAGACCCTAGGAATATCCCAAGAGACGATACAGAGCTTTACTCGATTAGAGAACCCCTCTAGTCAGTTCCCTCGCCGGGAGTAGTAGGACTAAAGGGGGTCCCCACTCTAGAGTAAGCATCCCCACCCGGAGTAAGCATAGGGTATTCTGTTCCCAAACATATAAAAAATAATGTACCCGCGTCCCTATGGAAAAACAGACCCCATGCATTGGCCAGCAGTAAATAGACACAATGGATTGGATAACTTTTCGCTTTGCATCGTGTTGAGGCCTTGGGAGCCTTAGCCTCAATAAGGGTCTAAGAGCTTTAGTCCGGGTTGGTGATACCAACGGGACTAAAGGGTCTATTTTAGCGGGCTATAAGGTTACCAACGGGACTAAAGGTTGAGAGCCTTTTCTTAGTTCACCCATAAAATAATAGTCCCGGTTGGTGTCTTCAACCGACTAAATCATGCCCATGGCCCACGTTAGGGGACCTTTAATCCTGTTGGAGACATACCGGGATCTCTTTAGTCCCGGGACATAAAAATTCGGGACTCGGAGCCCATTTTAGCATCGGATAAAAAGTCTGTTCTCTACTAGTGTTTTCACTGACAATATATGACCCACTTATCTCTCTCATAGAGTTTTTTTGTTTCTTAGCCTAAGCCGGCTGTAAGCTTACAGCCCGCTTCTTCTCTCTCATCTTATCCCTTCTCCGCCTCAGCATTTTGCCAGCTTACAGCCTGTTATTATACTTGCTCTAAGGGAACCTGTTTTTCTTGGCGTGCTGAAGACAGTATGTGCAGAACTTCCGCGCTTGCTGGGCTAAAATTCATCTTCTAGAGATTCTATATTGTTTTCTTGACTTGTTCTTGTTTTAGCAAAGTTTAGGATATAGACCTAATTATTAGATAAGAATTTTAATTGGCTCCTATTCGCCACCCCCTTTGATCGTCTTTTTGGTGTTTCAGTCCTAAAACTAGAGGATCGATGTCACGCTCACGAAATGGGCTAGCTTATAAACACCACATGGCTAGTCATTTCCAAGTAAAAAAAAACAATGATTTTCCAAGGAGAAATTGGAAAACAGAAGGAAAACGACGATTATTAGCTGGCGCTTTGATTCGATTTGCATCCTCATGGCTAACTGTTCTTTAATTAGCAGCTGATTAATAACAAGCAACAAATTAAAGCAACACCATACTATATCTATCGTTTCACAAGCACCTGAGCAGAGTTAGCTCTTTGGCCGCCGCCGACGCCCACGCCGCACTGCTCCACCATCTGCCACCCCTGCCGGCCCAGGCTCATCTCGAGGCTAGGCGGCGTCGTCGCAGGCGGCGGTCCCACTCCCAGACCCAGTCCCAGCACCCTGACGCTCACGCCGCCGCCGCCGTCGCTGCAGTACTGCTGGTGGAGCCACTCCGAGCTGGAGACCGTGTCGCCGCCGCTGCCGCTCGTGTTGTTCGGCGACGACCGTCGTTGGAAGCCGCCGCCGCTTCCTGCGTGGTCATGATCAGCCTCGTCCACGAGATGGTGAACAGCGATGGCGTCTTCTTCCCCGTGATGACGGTCGACGTGTTCGTCTCCTACCTTCAGTCCCTGCATGTACGTAGATACGTGCTGTAGCAATCAATCATTATCCAAGTACGTAGTTTAGGTCTCTAGGGCATCGGCATAGTCTACATTATGAAACTTTGAGTATACATCGATTTTTATGAGAAAAAGAATATGTTAAATAAAATGATTTGGTATAGTTAAACAGTAAAACAGCTGTACGTGGTAGCAACATTCAAGACATCGTCTTTGCATGGTGATGCCACCATGAACGACGAACGAAAGAAGATGATAAATGCAGTGCTAGCTGCTGTCAGCATCAGCATCACCAGTGAATTAGCTTCACTTGCAGCTAGCACCTGATCTGAATTAAAACCATGCGCGCCCCAGATGGATCGATCAGAAAATTGAATGTACTGTGCCGTCATGATCCGTGTTATAAATTCCATCAATGTCTGAGTGCTCAAGACTTTTTTTTTAACGAACTGAGTGTTTATAAGATGTGCGGCAGCTTCCAATGCATATACATGAATGCACATGCAAGTGGAATGCAGTATTATACTATACCTGCTGTCTTTGCTCCGTCGTGGTCGTCGTCATCAAGAGGTGATCAGCTGCTGGCTCATCTGCAGGCATGGTGATGAGGCCATTGCTGTAAGCTGCAGCTGCAGGCAGGCGGCGGCATGGCGATGCATGCAGCATGATCACTTCGTTGCTGCAGCTCTGCTGATGGCGCTGGACCTGGAGCTGCTGCTGACGCCCTTGGACTTGGATCCAAGCACAAGCGGCGGCTGCGGCGTCTTGATGATCCACCGCCTGCTGCTGCTGCTGCTGCTCTCCTGGAGACCGTGACCTCCTGCGTGTACAGGCCTCGCTCATGAGTATACTTTACTCTGTGACGATGCTAATCACGATAACATATATTCGTAAATAAAAGCCAGTATTCGTATTCGAGAAAATTTAATCTGTAAAACCAGAAGAACATGGAGGAGAGTCTGCTTTTTCACCGTCACTTAAACACACATGCAGTCTCATGTAGTCATGTTATGTTATATATATATATATATATATATATATATGACCATGTTAAAGATAAGGCCCGTTCGGTTATAGTGGAAACAGCCCAGGCATGAAGTATATACAATTTTCTTTCGTATTTTTTCGAGAAAATTTAATCTGTGAAAAACCAGAAAACCAGAAGAACATGGAGGAGAGTCTGCTTTTTCACCGTCGAAAAACCCGAAAAAAATGGGAATTTTACCCAAAAAAAAAACACACATGCAGTCTCATCTGTAGTCCACGCTCTGTGACTGGCGGATTCGACAAGACCCAAGACCTCTCTACCTATTTATATATATATATATATATATATATATATATATATATATATATATATATATATATATATATATATATATATATATATGATAAGATGATTTCAAATCAAAAAGTTATGTTAGTTTCATAACTTTTGGAGATCTACAATTTTCATTTAGGAAGTTTTTTCATCCGAGGTCGTTTGAAAAATTCAAATTTTCAAATTTTCAAATTCAAACGTCGTTTTTGCATGAAAAATGATTTCAAATCAAAATGTTGCCAACTACAAAATTTCATAATTTCTCAAGTTAAAGTTTATTTTGGTCATTTGTTCATATAGTAACATTGGAAATTTTCAGAAATTAATGAGAATTAATCCCACTCAAATGAAATGACCAAAATAAAAGTATATATAATTGAATTATTTAGCCTCATTCGAAAACCGGCTAAGATTTTTTCCAGGTGGTCATTCCTGGTGAAACGAACGGGCCCTAAAGGGAAAAAAAACATGTATGCATGCAGCTAATATAAGATAGATTGATTGATTATATAGTGCTGTAGTACTTGCAAGAAAGAAAGGACCTGGGCCGGTCGGGCCGGGGGACAAGCATCAGAAACCTGATGAGCACATCCATCCAGTACTACTAGTGTGGTGCTACAGGTAACTAGCAAGCTGCTGCGGCGCTAGTGCTGCCAAGTGGCTTGTCCATGCTCGCCACTACAAGCAGGTAGGAGCTATTCGTGGAGACGGACGAGCGAGGCACGCCACGCCGAGCCGCACCGCAGCACGTACAGGCTTTCCCCGCGGTCAAGGCTAATGGAGTCGCCCTTGTCCTCTTGCGCCCGTCGCACGCGAGATTCTACCGCCACCGGCCGGTGCAACACGCCGGTAGGCCCGCCCGGCCACCGCCTGCCTGGCCGCGCCGGTCGGCCGGGCCAGCATCCAGCACCCAGCGGAGGGGGACAATTGATCGGTATGCATGCATTCATGCATGCTTGGATGCTGGATCTGATCTAGCCACCTGATCTGAATCTGATCATATCGATCGGCCGGCCCCCGGCCGGCTAGCCCCAGCCACAACAAAAGCAGTAGCGGCCGGCCGGCCGGCTGCTAGCCGATGCATGCCTGCCCGTACGTACCTGTGAGGGCCCTGCTGCATGCATGCGTGCTGGCCTCTCCACTCTCTCAGAGAGTGATGAAGGCTGAGGATATCGAGGGAACGAAGCATCGGGCGGGCATGGACGCGTGCAGTGCAGAGGCTTCAGCACTGCTTGCAGGCCAGGTTAGGACCAGGAGGTAGGACGGAAAAGAGTCTCCATCTGCATCATGACCCTTCCTCAACTGCATGCAGTACACTGTTTGCATGCATGCTGCTGTAAGCTAGCTAGTACCAGTAGTACCCCTTTTTTTTCTATTCGTACTCTCTCCATACCGTAATAAAGAATAAAGAAATATCTTATATAACATTCAAAATTTATCACATAAAGGAAAGCAGTACAGTAATATTATTTTGACACTAACACTATTCATCACTAACTTCGGCTAGGCAATAGGCATTTGTCTAGGTTTTTTCACATAAAACGGTGTTAACAGTTTTTTTCAACATAAATCAGAAACATTAACAAATGCTCTCTTGGTTTCAAATTATAAGTCATTTTTAACTTTTGTTGATACATAGCCTTTATTTACAATGCATCTAGATCATGGCGGATTCAACACTAGGTGGGTCGAGGCTCGAGTCCCTGCTACCGTACCGTCGCCAGAAACCATGGATCCCCTAGCTCCTACACCCCTACAAATTTGTAGTCCTTTTTAAGCTTAGAAGAAGGGCGGCCTAAATGCCCCTCTGAAAACATGTGACTAGATCGGTCACATAAACATCTAAATACGTAATAAAAACTAACTATACACCTAAAAAAATCAAAATAACTTATAATTTAGAATGAATGAATGTTTCTTTTGCCGAATCTCCTTATTTAGTATGGGATCACTCTAACTGCCAACACAACATAGCACCTTTTGAAACATATAGCCGAGAGAGAGAGGGAGCGGGGCCTGGCTCTGCATCGGATCGGTGCGTCGATGGGAGCTTGAAATGACGAGCATGTTGACAAAAATATTTGCAGGAGAGGGAGGTCGTACTTCCAGTTTCAGACGACGACGGCGGGCGTGGAGAAAACGTCGCATGCACGTAGGACGTGGCTAGGCATGCATGCATGCATGCTCTTTCTCAGAGTTTCAGAGAGATGTTTAGGGGCAGGGGCACAAGCGAAATAAAAAAGAAAAGAAAGAGAGAAAATGCGCTGATGAGTGTGACTGTGATCGATGACAAAATGTGATGGAAATTTTCATTTCAAGCTGAAAAGGACCTCATGATGATGGAGGGATACAACAATGGCAGGAGAAAAGCTAAGGCTGCACAGCTAGCGCATTGGGATCCCAAAAACAGCCAGAGAAACACAGCAATCTATCATGGCTTCGCCTGCTGCTTCAGTTTAATTAATGAATTGACACATGCCACAGATGGATCAAAGAGACTGCTCTAGCAGCCACAGCGCTCGAACAGAGCTTTAGAGACGGTCGGTTTACGTAAGAAACTGTCTCTAACTATTACGGACACGGGAAACATTACTGTAGCACGACCCGTCTCTAAAAATTAAACTGGAGTTTGTGACGAGCGAGAACTGTTGCAACTGTGTCCGGATGCTTCTTGGGGTTGGAACTGGTTCTAGGCATTGCAAAGCTGGTTCCAACTGGTTGGAACTTGGTCTAGTGCTGATGAGGTTGGGGCGCTGCTGGGGCTGGTTTCAAATGGTTAGAACCGGGGTTTAGGCGCTATTGGGGCTAGTTGTGACTAGTGGGAATCGGGTTTAGGGCGTTGTTGGGGCTTGTTCCAACTGATTGGGAACTGGGGATCTAGATAGCCAGCACTGGTTATAACAGTTCTGAGTGGTGACATGTCGTGCTCTGGTTTGGTCACACTTGGTTTTCAACTAGGTCACCATGCTCAGGAGGCATGGGTCATGTCGGCCACGTGGGAATTGCGCGGTAGTTATGGTGGACACATTCTCCATATGAAATACACATGGGCATATTTTAGCCCCCCCCCCCCCCTCTCTCTCTCTCTCTCTCCATATATATGTTTGTGTGTCCCCTAAATGAGGCTCACTACCAAGAAACTGGATTGGCCCTATTGTCAATGGACTTCCCAGACATATTTTTCCCAATGCCTAAGGTGTTTTATTCAACCGTTAGGGAATTCTAGTTTCCAGTGGTGGCTAAAATAAAAGATGAGGAATGTCTCTTTTTGTATATTTTGCCTAATTTTGAGGAATGATCGAACACATGATGCTTGATAGTTCCTATTTTCTTTCATTGGACTTAGAAGTACTCCCTCCGCTCTACGAAGGATACAATTCTAGATCTAGTCCAAGTCAAACTATAACTATGACTAAGTTTATAAAAAAATAGTATCACCATTTATGACTTCATGTAGATATATATACTATGATAAATCTAATTTATATGCTAGTATATTTAATATGTTAGATATTAGTATCTTTTTATATGACTTTGATCAAACTTAAAAAGGTTTGACTGAATACTATTCTAAAATCGCGACCTTTTGAGGAGGACGGAGAGGTTGCAAGAACTATAGCTACTAAACTATCACGCTCCATTAGTAATGAAAATAAAACCTTAGACCAAATGACACACAGCTAGAAGCCTAGATCACATACAGTCCAAACCGACTGTCATCGATCAACTAAAATAATGCAGTCAAATTCCTCTAGATCCTGGCATCACAATTGACTAGTAGTTTCCATCTATCCACATCCCCATAACACAGAGGGCATGCATCCATATGCAGGAGTACAAAATAAAAGATCACAGTGGCGTGAATGCGCTCACACAAGACGTCCATATGAACTCTCCAAATGCAGCAAAGTAGCTGGATGCAGACATGCAGACACAAAGACCAAGAGAGATGGAACAAAACAATGAAAACATGCGTCCATATAAATACTCTGATTTGCACCTATATATAAGTACTTATTTACTGATGAGAAGAAATGTAGCAGTGCAAACCTATCAGTATTGTTGTTGAAGGTAGGGACGGTGTTGACTGAGTTGTTGCTGTTGAAAGCATCAAAGCCATCCCCTTCACCAACACCTGTTCTGAGAAGGACCATGTCTCTGGCATGGCCATGGCCTGCAACACACATGATACATGCATATGTCTCATCACATTGCAAAACTACAAAAACACATATATGGAACACATACACAGCGCCTGTGGTACAAACTTGCTCCCTCCATTCTAAAAAAGATACAATTCTAGAATAGTAAAGTCACTATCCAAAGTTTGACTAAATTTATGTATAAAAACACTAACTTTTTTTATCATACTAAATAAATGTCGTTAGATTTGTTATAAGAAATATTTTTTATAATATATATCTTTGGAGTCATGTTGATACCATTTTCTATAAATTTAATTAAATTCAAGGTAGTTTAACTTTAATTGGATCTAGAATTGATTTTTTTTTCAGCACATATGTAGTACTGTATATATCTACGACTGTGCACGCCAATAATTCAGCACTGTTTGTGACTAGACCTTGAATTGATGGACGACTCAGACCACGGGCAGTGTACCAGAACATTATGATCTAGGCAATATGTGTTAATCCTTTACCTGCTACACATGATCTGCCTGTGCCCTTCACTGTTCTGTACATCTGCAGGAAAAAGAAAGAAAGGAACATATATTAAGAATGGCATGTTTATTCCTTGTGTGCCATATGGTTTAGTCTCGGAGCATGTGTAATAATGAAGTTAAATATCCGTGTGATGCATATAGTTTAAAACACATGGAGGACAAAAAAAGGACAATAGCTACGTGATATCAGCTAGTAGCAACAAGAATGTATCAAAACAAGCCGTACATGTCACATTTCTTTTTCAGTACTGTCAATTGGTGATCAAGCTAGATGACTACTATCTCAAACTCACTGAATCATTAAGATGACTACTATCAGTGAAAGTGTTTTGAGTGGATAGACATGTTTACATGCTGGTAAAAGGAGGAGAGAAGCTAGACTTGCCTGCAGGTGGCTCTTGACATGTGCTAGTGTAAGATCCTTCACGTTCATCAGTTCCAATACTGACTTTGGTGTTGCTCCTAGAAGATGCAGCAAAAAACAAATCAAAGGAAGTTTCAGAACCAAGAATCTGCACATGCATGCATGGAGGAAAAAATCAAACAGAATAAACTCAGCTTGCACAAAACCATGTGATTAATTGCATATGTAGTATTATATTTTATTTGGATTGAGTGGAAGATAAAAAAATAATTAAGGAAAGAAGAAAACTTTTTAGAAGATCTGAGTTATGTGCTATATAAAATATCCCTTGAAATCCTTAAATTAGCTAGAAAAAAATAAAATAAAATGCTTGATGGTTAAATTATCTTTAGTATTTTTATTGATCCTTTATTTAGTTATAGTCCTTCGCAAGGTGCCAAGATGGGTACCGTACCAACACTGTATGTAACTTAGATTTTGTCACTTAGGTAAAAGAAGAGGACATCTTCAAGGACCGTAAAAAAGACTCATTTCCAATTCAATGGTCACCCTTTAATTCCCAATAGTAATATATAGTTACAATAAAAATATATCAATTAACCTTCCTCGCAAAAGGAAAGTTTATAACTTTTTTTTGGATCAGGAAAACTTCAAGGAAGCACCACCGATCGATGAGAAGAACTCTAAGAGAATTAACAGCAAAGGCAAGATCAACAACGACAATCCCATGAAAGAATTCATGGTGGCGCTAATTAATTGGTGCTCAGAATTTAACATACTCTCGTGGCCGCCAAGGAGCTCGACGGCGTGCACGAAGTGCGCGTGCAGCGCGGTGGTCCACCGCATCCGCGGCGCCCTGGAACTTCTCCTCCCGCCGCCGACGGCGGCGTTTGTGCCCGACGAGCTCTTCTTGAACCCGTGGGCCGTCTGGCTCGGATGGTGCAGCCGGAGCCGCTGCACCTGGAGATTGTGCTCCTTCACTGCCGCCGCGTCGTCCACCTTCTTCGTTGCCGCGGCTGCCGCCACAGTGTCGTCGAGCTCCAGCCCCAGCAGTACCCTTGGCTCCCGCGGCATCTCGACGCCGCCGCCGGCCGGTGGTGATGGAGGGCTGATGTGGAGGGAGAGATCAGGAGTTGTTGTCGTCGTCACACCCACACTGCCGGTCGTGCTCATGGTAGCTAGCAACGGCCGGCCGGGGGTGCAGTGGGATGGGATCTTGTTGCAACGACGGTGTCACGGTGAGCTGAGCTTCTTGGTTGTTCGAGCTAAAGTTAAGGAGGAAGAAAAGCTTGCGGCAGAAGAGGTAGCGTGTATATAGCCTTGTTTAGTTCCCGCCTTAAAACTTTACAAGTTGTCACATCGAATATTTGGACATATGCATATAGTATTAAATGTAGACTAAAAAATAACTAATTGCACGGTTTGCGACTAATTTGCGAGACGAATCTTTTAAGCCTAATCAGTCCATAATTTGACAATAAAGTGCTACAGTAACACATGTGTTAATGATGGATTAATTATGATTAATAAATTCGTCTCGTGGTTTACTAACGGATTCTGTAATTTATTTTTTTATTAGTATCTCAATACCCTATTCGACATTCCTATATAACATTCAATGTGATATCCCAAAACTTTACACCCTGAATTTAAATAAGGCCACAGTGGGCTGGGGTATAGAGTGATTAGGTCATGAGTGACATATCATTCTTGTATGGGTGTTTGCGTTTGAGCGTGTGAACGAGGAGGAGAGAAAGAGAGGAGGGGATGGAGAGGTTACATGTATAGTGGAGAGCTAGAGAGAGAAAAAAGGTAGGGATGGTGATAGCTAGAGAGAGAAGAGAGAAGATGGGATTGGCAGTGTCCCAGCTGCCAGGTAGCTAGGGGAATAAAATGAGAGAGAGAGAGAGAGAGACATAGAGATAGAGAGAAAATTAGGTAAAGATTTCAGAGGAATAATTATGCCTAGAGAGAGAGAGAGTAATATGGCCATAGGATAGGGCTGAGCAGGTTGCAGGTTGCATGAAATGGGAAAGGGGAGACAGAGCAGTTGGGAGTGTGACATGCTCTAACGGATCTGACTCTGAGCGCCATTCATCTCACTGTGCAGTATTTATTTCCCGTTTTCCATTGAAGGTGTGTTTAGTTGGGGAGGTGAAAATTTTTAGGTGTCACATCGGATGTGTTGAAAGAATATCGAGAGGGGTTTTTGGATACTAATAAAAAAAACAAATTACAGAACCCATCAGGAAACTGCGAGACGAATCTAATGATACTAATTAATCGGTCATTAGTACATGTGGGTACTGTAGCACCTAAGGCTTTTCATGGACTAATTAGGCTTAAAAGATTCGTCTCGCGATTTTGCCGAGAACTGTGCAATTAGTTTTTTTTTCGTCTACATTTAGTACTCTATGTATGTGTCCAAACATGCTCTTTTACTATATGAGGCAAAAAAATTTGGAAACTAAACATGCCTGAATTGACCAAGCTAAGGGGCCTCCGATCCTCGCACGCACAGTTTGTTTTTCTAGTATCTTATTAGTATAGCATGTACTACAGCCGAGTCTCATTCTGATGAATGCACAGCTACATATGTATGAGCAAGTTTGATAGAGCTCTAGCTACTTCATAATTCTTGAGTAGTGATTTTGGTGGTGATTGAATGGGAAATGGTGGAGAGTGGTCTATTTAGCTCAGTGTAAACGCATAAGTGATTGTTAGATCTAAAGCAGGATCTCTAGGCATAGAACTAGCATGTCTACTTGTACTTGGAGTAAACCGTGAGTCCTAGAAGCGTCTACTAGTGTACTTGTTAGGATAAAGATACACACATAGAGATAAGATCGAAAAGAATTACGAGAGAGAGAGAGAGAGGTGAAGGGGTGCGAACCATCGGCCGCCTTGGAGGAAGATGGGCTCGTCATCGCAGTGCTTGGCGATAACCCGGTGGCGGTGTCGAGTTGAAGGGCGTCGGTGTAGTAGTGGTCGCAGGCAGTTGTCGTCGATAAGTCATTTGGAGCTTAGCCTTAAAATATCCCTTCGGTTTCTCCTTGCTTCTTGTAAGATGAATCAGATGTCTTTTTTATATGCATCAGTTCCTTCTTCCTTCTCTTGAGATATTATTTTGGGGGTGGCTTGAGGGCTGACCTCTTGCGGCTTGGTAGGCGGGGCGGGGAGGCGTTGGAGACCTCCTTGGAGGTGTTGGTTGGCGTTGGAGACCTCCGTGATCGTGGGTTTGGGGTTTGGAGACCTCCTGTAGGTGGGGTGCTAGGCGGCTCAGGCGAACCTCGTGACTCGAGCGCCCCGGCCCCCACCTCCTATTTATGGCGCTGTGCGATGGGGGCCCACCAACCATATTAGGGTTGGGCGCCCCCGATCAGGGCGCGGATCCAAGGGCCCAACATGGCCTATTGGTGGAGATCAACTAACAATTCTTACCAGAATTCAGTTGCATTTTAGTCGTTTAGTAGAGCTCCACAGAATTCGCTTGAAGAAGCTAGGAGCAGCTTTACCAAATAGACCGTGTGTTACGAATCATATGCGTGAATAGTTACACGTGTTTGAGATTAGTTCCATAAACATATTCTGTTCAAGTATAAGTGGATCAATAATTTTTACTATATGTTCTTCAGTGACTTGTTCTTCATCAACTTATTAAGTTTTTGTCATAAATATTCTCTCAAAGGAGGTTATATATGTAGTATTAGGCCTTGTTTAGTGCGGGTTTTGGGAGGTGGTGAAACCGTAAAACATAGTTTTCGCTATAGCTTTGATCAGTGCTGGCCCTAGAGGGGTGCCAGAGGTGCGACGGCCGAGGGCTCATGGGAGTGAGGGGCCCAGGCCCAGGTATACGATACCCCTAGCCCTTAGTACGTAGAATACCATGTACTGAGCTGGCACTTGCTTTAAGCCAATAGTCTTGTACGCAATAGAAATGCAATAGTTTTTATTAAATGCGAAGAACATAAAATTAGAGGAGTCACGGAGGGCCGGAGCCAGCTGTAGTGGACTCGACTCACCTCTCACGGAGTAATTGATTTAATTTTAAACATGAGACACGGAGCAGATCATAAATCAGGACTTCTTTATGCGCCGTGGCGGCGATCGAGAAGGGGGGCAGACCGAACCGGCAGAGAGCACTCCTGTGGCCTCAGTGGCGCAAGCTCGACTCGATCGGTCGATCACTAAGGCGACTGTTGTCTCATGCACCGATCATCACTTCATCAATCATCAGTTCATTAGCCGTCGATCAGGCCCTAGCCCCTAGGTATTTTTTTTCCTTGATCGTTTTTTAATCCTGTAGATGCAGTGTTGTGCCTAATGATAATCCTGTATATTGAAGAACAAGGGCAGCAACAAGTTAATGATAATTTAAGTGAAGAAGTTGATGCCAATGATGATGCTATAACGAATAAAAATTTACGGTCTTCCCTTCAACCTGAAAATTGAATTAATGATGTGCAATAAGCTTCTATTCATGATGTCTTTGATCCTAGAACTTGGAGAAATCTTGATAATAAGGGTAGAGATATATTGATTGAAAAAGCGCCGGTGAGAGAATTGAATCTTGAGTTCCCTGTAGATGCTCTTAATAGACGTTTTTCATATGTTTACTACTCCAGAAAGTTAACCAATGGTGAGGTGGTTGATAGAAAATGGTTGGTTTACTCTAAACATGTGGACAAAGTTTTTTTGTTATTGTTGCAAATTGTTCAAATCAAGTCAAAGCAAAAGTTTGCTAGCATATGATAGATTTATATATAGTCTAGAGGGGCAGTTATATTATATACACTACCGGAGACCGGCTCTTTGCCGAGTGCCAGGTGGTTTGCCGAGTGTTGTTTTTCGGGCACTCGGCAAAGCGGCCTTTGCCGAGTGTTGTTTTTCGGGCACTCGGCAAAGCGGCCTTTGCCGAGTGTTTTTTTTGACACTCGGCAAAGAAAATTTCAAAGCATATTTTGAAGCAGTAAATTAATTCAAATGAAAAAGTTTTCAACTACAAAGTTGTATAACTCATCAAGATATACAATGTTTGTTTTGGTCTTTTCTTCATATGACAAAGTGAAAGTAAAATTGTTCACAAATCTAACATATCTCTCTTGTAGTTTATGAAACTACAAGAGAGATATATAAGATTTGTGAACAATGTTAAAACGACCATGTCGGATGAATAGATGATCAAACAACCAAAATAAACTTTGTAGATCTCGAAAAGTTATGAAACTTTGTAATTGACAACTTTTGATTTGAAATCATCTTGTCATGCAAAGCTGCGTTTGAATTTGAATTTTAAAATTCAAATTTTGTAAACGACCTCGGATGGGAAAACTTCCTAAACTAAAAGTGTAGATCTCGAAAAGTTATGAAACTTTGTAGTTTACAACTTTTTATTTGAATTCGTTTAGGGCCTCAAACATGCAATTTACACTTGACTTGTTCTTCATCAACTTATTAAAAAAACTTCTTTGCCGAGTGTTTTTTTGACACTCGGCAAAGAGCCTCTTTGCCGAGTGTTATTTTTGACACTCGGCAAAGAAAATTTCAAAGCATATTTTGAAGCATAAGTAAATTAATTCAAATGAAAAGTTTTCAACTACAAAGTTGTATAACTCATCAAGATGTACAATGTTTGTTTTGATCTTTTCTTCATAACGACAAAGTGAAAATAAATTTATTCACAAATCTAACATATCTCTCTTGTAGTTTATGAAACTACAAGAGAGATATATATATAAGATTTGTGAACAATGTTAGAACGACCATGTCGGATGAACAGATGACCAAACAACCAAAATAAACTTTGTAGATCTCGAAAAGTTATGAAACTTTGTAATTGACAACTTTTTGATTTGAAAACATCTTGTCATGCAAAACTGCATTTGAATTTCAAAATTTTAAAATTCGAACTTTTCAAACGACCTCGGATGAAAAAACAACCAAAATAAACTCTGTAGATCTCGAAAAGTTATGAAACATTGTAGTTGACAAAAATTTTGATTTGAAAACATCTTGTCATACAAAATCTTGCGTTTGAATTTCAAAATTTTAAAATTCAAATTTTGTAAACGACCTCGGATGGAAAAACTTCCTAAACTAAAAGTGTAGATCTCTCGAAAAAAAGTTATGAAACTTTGTAGTTTACAACTTTTTTATTTGAATTCGTTTAGGGC